GATGCTCCACAGTGAAATACTCCACAAGTGATGCTCCACAGTGAAATGCTCCACAAATGATACTACACAGTGAAATACTCTACAAATACTACTCGTATGCATACGTTACTGTGCTTGTGTCTAAGCAGCATTTTCTAATGCAACTGCAATTCATTATGGTGCAGCTTTTTTCCAGTGAAACTGTTGCAAGCTTTGCCATGGACTGTCTCAGGACTCCAAGCTGTTCCCATGTAACTTCCCTCCCTCCCCAAAATGTGTCAGAAAGGCTTGAGCAAAGCTCTTCTGATGATGCAGCATCACTGCGGAACCGTAGCCCTAGAGACCCACTCCAGCGTTTATCAGCCAGGGTCCTGGTACACCAGAAGGGCACAAGAGAATTGTGTGACTGCAGGGGCCACATGCACCAGTGATGGGAGCGGCAGACCTGGCATGTTGGTGTCTGGGGCTGTGGTAACAAATTATCACAAACCAGGTGGGTTACAACATAGAACTGTCTTCTGTCCCAGCTTTGGGAGTCAGAGACGTAAAATCAAGGTGCCGGCAGGAATGGGCTCCCTTGGGAGGTTCTAGAGGAGAACCCGCCCCCTGCCTCTCTCTTGTTCCTTGGCCTGTAGCTGCCTCACTCCAGACACCACATGGCTCCATCGCCATGTGGCTCCTCCCTGCACCCGTGTGTCTTAAATATCCCTCTCCCTTTCTCCCTGTTTTGAAATTTTAGAGAGCCTCTCTCTGTCACCCAGGCTGGAGTGCAATGGTGCAATCACACTGCACTTGCAGCCTCAAGCTTCTGCACCCAGCCCTGGCTGTCTTCTGAGGGCCTCTGTCACCAGCCCTGCCTGTCTCATGAGGGCCTCTGTTACCCAGCCCTGTATGTCTCTTAGGATGGCCTCTGTCACCCAGCCCTGCCTGTCTTATGAGGGCCTCTGTCACCCAGCCCTGCCTATTCTCTTATGAGGGCCTCTGTCTTTAACTTACATGTGCAAAAGACCGTCTTTCTAAATAAGGCCCTGTTCACAGGTCCCAGGTGGACATGTCTTTTGGGGGCCACCATTTGACTCCCCGCACCTGGTGAAGCTCCCCCTGGCCAACAATGTCAGGAGCCTCCCCCATGCTAGGCTCAAAGGAGGAAGGTAGGGATGGGGTTCCCAGGCCAGGAAGAGGGGCTGCCCAGCAGAGGCTGCAGCCACCCAGGAGGAGTCCAGCTTCTGCCTCAGCACAGCATGGGACGGGCTGGGAGGCCTAGACCCCCTCCCTCTCCCCTCCCATTGGCCAAACCCAGCAGGAAGATGGAAGATAAGGACGCCTGGGAGATGGGGCCATTTGGGGCCTCCCAGCTAAAACACAGCACCGAGAAGAGCTGGGCAAGGATTGGGGAGGGGTAGAGACCAATGTGCCCCCGTGTGCCCCTGTGCCCACTCCCACAGGGGCTTTGCCAGGTCACTCCCAGCCCCAATCTGTTATTCCAGGCCGTCGACTACGAACTCAACAGAGCCTTCATGCTGACAGTGATGGTGTCCAACCAGGCGCCCCTGGCCAGCGGGATCCAGATGTCCTTCCAGTCCACGGCAGGGGTGACCATCTCCATCATGGACATCAATGAGGCCCCCTTCTTCCCCTCAAACCACAAGCTGATCCGCCTGGAGGAGGGCATGCCCCCCGGCACTGTGCTGACCACGTTTTCAGCTGTGGACCCTGACCGCTTCATGCAGCAGGCTGTGAGGTGGGCCCGCAGGACATGCTCCCCGGGGTCCATACAGAAGGGTCCAGAAACTCCCCATGAAACCCACAGCCAGCCCAGGAGTCCCCCAGATGGGTGGTCAGGGACATCCCCGACCTGAGGCATCCTTCCAGGAGGGAGCAGCAATGCCTTAGTCCCAGATAGCCAGACGCAGCCCCTGACCAACGGAGCGCTGTGATGATTCCCAGCACGGGAAGGTGGCCGACTGAGCGCTGTGATGATCCCCAGCATGGGGAGGTGGCCGACTGAGCGCTGTGATGATTCCCAGCATGGGGAGGTGGCCCCCAATCCCAGCTGCAGTCTCACTAGCCACTGGCCATGAGACTCGGCTAATCACCTGCTCTCTCTGTTCTTCAGCGTCCTTGTCCATGCGATGGGGACGATGAGGGTGTCTGCTCACAGGGTCCTTGTGAGTTGCGACCACCCACCACTGTATGTGCTCTGTGTCCGGAGTCACTGTGTGGCCTGTCCTGTGGTGAGGGGCGCAGTCCAAGGTGGAGGGGAAGCCCCAGAGGAGGACAGGGCCTGGGGGCTCCAAGGAATCAGAGACTCTGGCCCAGGCCCAGGCCCTGCAGGCGTGGCCGGTGCAGCTGCCCCATCTGGGCAAGGAGGCCTGGGATCCGGGGCAGCCCCGCCCACCCCCACCTCACCTCCCCCTGCACTTGCTGTCTCTACAGATACTCCAAGCTGTCAGACCCGGCGAACTGGCTGCACGTCAACACCACCAATGGCCAGATCACCACGGCAGCCGTGCTGGACCGTGAGTCCCTCTACACCAAAAACAACGTCTACGAGGCTACCTTCCTGGCAGCTGACAATGGTGCGGCCCACCTCTAGGGGCAGATGTCGACGTGGCCTTCCCACATCCTGGTTCAGTGGGCAAGGGAGGGCGCTGGCCAGGGAGACCCCAAGAGCCAGGAGGCATTCAGAGGGCCACTCAGAAAGGCTGAGGGGGTGTCTGCACAGACAGCAGTGATCAGGGTGGGCCATCTCAGGGCCCCCAGGCCATGCTTCCCCTCCACCCATTCCCATATCAGTCATTCATTCCACCCTCTCCCACTTAATTCATTCCGCCCCCTCCCACTTCATTCCGCCCCCTCCCACTTCATTCCGCCCCCTTTCACTCATTCATTCCGTCCCCTCCCACTTCATTCCACCACCTTTCACTCATTCATTCTGCCCCCTCCCACTCATTCATTCTGCCCCCTCCCACTTCATTCTGCCCCCTCCCACTCATTCATTCCTCCCCCTCCCACTTCATTCCTCCCCCTCCCACTCATTCATTCTGCCCCCTCCCACTTCATTCCACCCCCTCCCACTTCATTCCGCCCCCTCCCACTTCATTCCACCACCTTTCACTCATTCATTCTGCCCCCTCCCACTTCATTCTGCCCCCTCCCACTCATTCTTCTGCCCCCTCCCACTTCATTCCGCCCCCTCCCACTCATTCATTCCACCCCCTCCCACTTCATTCCGCCCCCTCCCACTTCATTCCGCCCCCTCCCACTTCATTCTGCCCCCTCCCACTCATTCA